CTCACTAGTTGCCCAACAGCTTAGATTGAATCTGGGCCGAAATGATAGTGCTGACCTCATTTCGTATTTTAATTTTAATGTTTTCTGCAAATTCAAATCATATGAAATTTTAGGTATTAATATTATTCTCATCAAGACGCATCTACTAAAAATATTGAAAAATAATTCACAAAAAATAAATTGATCAAAATACCCCTGAAAAGTTTTGAACGTATTTTGGTTAATTTATTTTTTAGAAATTACTTTTTGGATTTTTTTATTAGATTCTACTATTTTAAATAATACACGCCCAAATTTTTAGGTTATTTGGATTTGTAAAAAAGACATTAATTTTCAAATACAAAATAAGGTATTGATCGTCAAATAGCCTCAAATTCAATCTGGGCTGTTGGGCTCAAATGTAGCTGTGAACTAGTGGGCTAATCTCAGTCTTTATATATATATGGGTTTGTCTAAAGTTGACAATCCCTCAAAATACAAAGGTTAAAGTTGGAGAATGATTTCATGCAACGGTTTTATAGTAGTATAATGTAATCATCTTCACAAACCATGTTAAAGACATTTTTTTGACGCGAATTTTTAAATGTACACTCTTTTCATTATGAAGAACAATCACAAAAAAGAAAATTTTGAAAAAATGCTCTAGAAAGTTTTCATTCTAGCCCAATTAATATAAGTCGTCCATTTTATTGAGATGGTTAGATATAGGCCTCAGAAGAATTTTTTTATTCCAAAAATTTTTATATAGTGTTATCGTCATTAGATTAATAATTCTAAAAAATAAAAAAATGATTTTGAATTTGTTAATGCCTAGATCTTAAAATTCACGAAATAGATGGTCGAGATTTATTATTGGATGGGTACTAATTTTGACCATATCTAGGGTACAAATTGAATTTGTTTTTTCGTATGATTAATTATGAGGATGAAGAGAATGTGTATGCAAATTTTGGAGTCATATAAATGCCAAAAGTATGATTTTCTAGAGGTGTGGTTGCATTTTACTACTATACAACTGTTGCATTAGATCATTTCCCGTTAAAGTTAGAAGGGGTTGTGATGGGTATATTTATCAAAAAGATCATTACTTTTTGTTTAAAAAATTATTTTAATAGTAACCTAACCATAAGCAATGACATATTTGAAATTTTTATAATAGTACAATAGCATTTTATAAGTTAGTGTCTTGGAATTTTATTTGTAAAGTGACATTGTTTTTTAGTAAAAAAATTCAACTTTACCCTTTATTAAGATGATAAAAGTACCACTTGTTTTGTAGTAATATTTACAAAATTACTCTTATTTAATGATGAATATATCACAAAAAGTAGTTTTTTTGTAAAAAAAAATAGACTACAAAATTAGTAAATCCGCCCTTCACAACTTTCTATATCTTTAACCTTTATAATTTGAAGGGTTGTGAAGTTTAGATTATTCCTATATGGGTAAGGTTTTTATAAGGTTGCTTCCTTATACTATAGAAGTGGGATGCACATATAAGATTTACTTAGAGATGTCATTTCGGCATCAAAAATTTTATGATGGCTTCAAAATCTCTTTTTATCTTCAGTTAGAAAATTTAAAATTTAAAAAATAGTACAAATCGAACAAATCAATAAGCACTTGAAAATCTTGAAAACAGACGGTCCATATGTCTTTTTACAAGATGTACTATTTTTTGAACTTGGAATTCTTTTTTTTCTTCATGTCCATTCATCTCACGGTCAGTTGGAGGGTTCTCCTAGATGGAACCACTCTCCATTGTAAGATTTTTGATATGCACCTTCCTCAACAGTATAAGGTTGGAACCATATACAAACTTTTTACTTCATATATATATATGGTCTCTTCAGTTTGAGACTCAGACCATGATCCTTGAAAATAAAGAACTTGAACAGATAATTGAATATTCGGATGGAGGGATAGAAATATAATTCTCGTCCTCTAGAAGGACTAGACTCAGTATTTCAAATACACTTCCTAGAAATCTACCTAGAACCTCAACCTCCTATATTCCTCAGTCTGATTATGAAAAAGCCCATAATGAGAGAATAGTTCTTAAAGGACTTAGGAAGACTCCAAATCAAGTTAAACATCTAATATATAAGATTGACACTCCCAGTTCTTCCCAGACTGAACTTGAAGAACTAACCCTATCTGAATTTGATTTCGAAATATTAACAATCTAATAAATAGACGAATTTATCATTGATAAAGAATGGATTCGAGAAGGTTTCCTCTCAGACGAAAATAAATAAATAACATAATGGTTTTTTCAAGAATTTACAGAAGAATTAAGAAATGTTTGTTATAAAAAAAGTAATAAATTTATGATACAACACAAAAGAAATGTAAAATTCTTTAAATGGCTTAAATACATCCTTCAAAAAGAAAGGATCAAACTTCCGAAATTTAAAATAAATATGGCTCAAAATGTCTTTCAAACCTTTCATACAATCAAAGGTGAAGAAATAAAATCTATCCATCCCCGTGAATCAGGTTTACACTTGAAAGGAGAAAAATAT